TACAGTCCTATTAGGTCTTGTTCGAATAAACTCGAAGTTTTTTTCAAGCATAGAAACTGCTGCAATGCGTTGGTTAGTCTTTCTAATCACTGCGAATTTCATATAAACTAAGTGGCTAAATCATAAAAGATAAACAAGTTTTAAATTCATACCATCAAGGACCTGGTTCTACTGATTTCTTCTCCTTTTAGTTTGGAAACAGAATCGTTTGCCTGGAAAAAAGCAAGACAATAAAGTTGGCAAACAGCAATGTCGTAAATAAAAAGCTGCAGAGAAATACTTTGCTTACCAGATTCTTAACTTCCAACCTCGGTGACTGAGGAGTCCGTAGAGACGGAGACGATGATGATCCGGTTGCCGATGTATCTGATAATGATGACAATAATGATGATGCTACTGCTGCTGATCCTGCTGACGATGATACTGGTGCTGGTGATCCTGATGATGATGCTAATGTTTCTATTGGCTTTGAAGATGATGGTGATGGTGCTGATGAAGATGCTGATGCCCCTGCTGTTGATATTACTTTCGATGATGCTGCTGATGATGATCCTGATGCTGATGTTACTGCTGGGTTTGATGATGAAGGTGATAGTGTTGATAAATATACTGATGCCCCTGCTGATAACACCGCTGCTGATTGTGAGTGTGATGGAGATGATGGTAATGGTGAAGGTAAGATTGATGGTAAAGGTGACTGCGACAGTGATTGCAACAGAGCTGAATGTTGAAGAAAATTTAAAAGTCAACATAAAAGTTGACACTATGGTAGGGCGCAAAGAATTTTAAAAGAACATATTTTCTATCTCTTTCTTTTAATCTTAGAGACTTTTTCATAAAGCAAAAAAGAGAGTTTTAAGTATTCAATTTATTATTATACTCACTGTAAGCTTCTGTTCCATGTTCAGTTGGGATTTTCGTTGCGAATACTTGAATTGTTGAAGCCCCAATAGATGTAACGATACTCGACGTGTATGAATCTGAAGTGATGCAGTGACTATCTGAACATTTGGTGCTATTGCAGCTTTTACCTGCGCCGCAGGTCAGAATACATCTTTCAGCGTCGCAGGTTTGTTCACAATCCTGATCCTGATTGTTACATTCTAAATCCATTTCACACACATTTACTGTACTTCCGCACATTTGTGTTTTACAATTTTTCCCGCTGCAGTTCAATTTACATTCTTCAGCATTGCAGATTTGTTCACAATCCTGATTGTTACATTCTAGATCCATTTTATGCCTTTCCTTTATCTTGGCAATTTTGTGTTTTACAATTTTGCCCTCTGCACTTCAGAGTACAATTTTTAGCGTTGCAGGTTTGTTCACAATCTTTACTGTTACATTCTAGATCCATTTTACACACATCTACTCCAGCATAGCACGTCTGTTTACACCCTTCCCCCTTGCATGTCATATTACAACAATAATTACCACTGCTGCAATTCCCGAGCTGTTTACAATGACCACTTCCATTTTAACTTTCCGATTGACATTTATTCGAATCGCAATCTTCACTGCCCAGGGCAAAACCTGAAACAAAAAAAACAAGACCAGAACCAAAACGTAAGAATACTAAATATGAAAATAATGATGACGATAGTTATGAAAAATACAAAGGCATCGCAATACCTTCGTTACGAAAATAAACAACTTTATGCCACTGTTGTATAAAACTGCTGAGTATAATTTTCATGGAAACTACCCTTACAGCCGAGTGATTGCGTACGTCATTTCGTTCAAAGCGAGTCTTCAATACCGCGAAGCTGACAGAAGTCTCGAATATACAAGTTAACACAAAGCGGTTTTTTTTTTTAAAAACTAACAGTCTTTTAAAGAGTCTTATAAAGGTGAGATATATCGCAGTACTTTATCTTATTTTGTATTATTAACGCCGTTAATTTATATTTATCCATCTATACTTTTGTTTATTTACTTAATTTTTGTTTATATCTTTTTTTTTTTTTTTGCAAAGATAGGCAGGCTTTGCTAGATTAAAGAGTAGACATTTTCTCCATAACTACCTTTTGCAGCTTAGGAATTGATAAATACATGAAGCATCCCTGGGTGTAGAGAAAATTTTTGCATAACGACGTTGGCTTCTCAGATATTGTTTACAGATTCTTAAAAAATTAAATACCTTGGAAAAACTGACTCATATGAAAATTGCAAAAAAAAAACAAGACTTGAGAGACTTGAAATGGTATTGTTAAGCTGCAAGGCTTGGTAGTTTGTGAAGGGTGAGGGGCGACCTAAATTTCAACTTTCTATGTAGCCAATACAGAATTTGCATGTCTTTAAATTAGAAAAATAAAATCCGGCTTTAAATATCCCACCATCGTTTGCGTGTTTGCACAAAAACTTCACTTTTTCATGATAGACCCATGAGTTAGAAAAAACTTTAAGCCTGTATCTCAATGACACATAGATAAAATGGCTCCTGAAATACATCCCCTGACATGTTTGGTCTTGGCTTCCTGAAAAAAAGCCTGTATGGCCACCTGCCATTTAGGATCATCTAATCTAAAGCCATTCTAAGTTTTAGCGGTCTTTGTTTGCGCTGAATTAATTAATTTAATTATATTTAAAGGGCAGCCATGAGATAGACTCCTCGTAGTTCGCTTAAGATGCATTCTAGATAAAATAAATCTATGAAAAGGAGCTTTGGTACCCACTCAACATAGTTATTGATAACAGGAGTGTTCCCCACAACTGGCAACTTCTCGTCATCATTATTTTTTTCCTTTGGGTGAGTTTAGTTCCTGTAAGCTGAACCAAATGCAACCCCCTAGTAAACTGTCATTGGCTGGAGATCGGTCCGAAATATCCTTTACCAATATAAATTCAAAGCTTGTGATAATTCTCCTTTTAGCAAGAACCAGCCGTTTACTCAGTGTTGACATACACTACGAGAAATGGATTGTCATGCAAATTATTTTCGTCGGGTATTTCTACCGAAATTTAGTCGCAATAAGCCTTTTTACTTAGGTTAAAAAAATATAACAGAAATGAAACAAACTTTTCAGCAAACGCTTAATTCGAATTTTAAAGCTTTTTCAATAGTTTAGCATGGGATACACATTACTTGGCGAAAACAGAACATTTTTTAATGATATATCCTTAGGCTAAAGATATCAACTTATGGTGACGGGTTTTAT